GCCGAGCCGGGGGAGCAGGCCGCTTCCACGGCGCCTCAACCTTGCTACCGTGGGAGTGCTCACCTTAGGGTTTTATAGCAGCCCAGAAGACTAAAGGCCTCCTCAGGAGGCCTGCAACTTTCGACAATTTCGGACTCTTGGACAGTCATTGTATTTTGCAAATGGGTGTGTTCGGATGAAAAATGCCTGCAGCCCCAGTTTGCAAGAGTGTTTTTCAGGACTCGGAAGCCTTGATTACAGCAAACTCGGGAAAGATTTCTCATGTTTGCATCTGTCATCTGCGCACCAAAATCCTATTCGAATCTGAGCCTGCCCCCACCACGCTTCTGCAAGAAAAGACTATAGCACCAGCTCTGCGAAAATGAAATTCCAAAATCTTTTGAACCGACCCTGAATTAAAGCATTTACTAGCCTCCTGCCACCACAGCTTCCAAAGCCTTGACCGCTCAGAGAGCTTGGGGGGCTTCTGGGTGAGCTTGGCATGGGTGCAAAGGTAGTACGGAATCCTGGTTCGTCCTTCTTCCATGTACATATTTTACACTTGTGACAAGCAGCCTGCCCCGTCCTACCCTCTTTGGTAGTGCACTGCAGTCAGCTGGCTGGCCTTAGAGCTATATCGTGGGCCCGGGGCCATTCAGCCGCAACAAACTTTTTGTACATGAGTGCCCGCGTCTTAGCTGCATCTTCTCTAGAGGCGGCATGTGCCAAACTAGCTGCACCACGAAGGTCCGGAGGTTTGACGATGCCATGGGCCTGGCACAAGTGTCTGGTGCTCTGATCGTCGGGGCGGGCATGCTCTCAAGGCCCGGTAAAACCTTGTAATAGCCAGAGAAAAAAAGACCACCACAGGACTCTCGGTGCTCGAAATGCCGTTTGCAAGACCTGCCTGGCCGGAGACTCAGAGCAGGTTCTCTAGTGATGTATGGCAAGGGGGTTCTAGCAGCAGGTTGGCGCCCACGGGGCCTGGGAGGAACTACACTGTAAGCGCCGCACAGGGCCTATTTACGCAGCAAGCGCGGGCTTTGCCATTTGTGCCCGGACGCTGAGCTCCGGCCTTTCCCTACAAGTCACTGTCCAAGGTGCGTCCCTAGGTTGGAAGGCTCACTGAGGCGGCTGAACCAAGCCTGCTTTGTGCTCCGGATGCATTGTCCTCTGATTAGTTGATGGCTTTGGGGGCTTAGGATGCCTAACAGAGCTTGAAGCGGCCGGCAGATAGTGCCCGTACAGGGGCTTCATGCCTCGTCCTCTGCAACAGAATGGTAAGTTGGGGCCCTGGAGCTAGCAGCCGCAGACTCTCCCAAGCTGCTCCAGACGCCGCCCCGTCTCCCTAACAATGTGCAACGACAGCACAGTTCCTGCAGCCTGGGCAGATGCTGGGTGCCCTGCCGTGAATACTGAAAGCTTAGCTGATTTCTGCTGGCTTCTCGAGAGCCGAGCCAGAACTTTGGCCAGGCGGCCGCTTAAGCCACTGATAGTCTGACAGTGGGACTCCTTGAGGGCCAACACCATCGGCGAGACTTTTGAGGCAGCTTTAACCAGGCCATTCACGCTCAAGCAGGCGCAAAAGTGCATTGCTTCCAACGGCTCTGGCGCCAGTAGAAGACGATAACCGGTGGGCAATTGCGCCTAGAACAAGCCTGTAGCGTAAGGCCACCGAGCTAGGTGTTGCTCCATGGAAGTCGCTTGTTAGGCGCGGGCTTGCCTGGGCTCACGTCCTTGTCCGGCTGGAGGAAGGACTGGTATTCGTCCAGCTCGCCGCGAACATGTGCCACTGCTTGTGTTCGGGGCTTGCTCAGAGCAGAAGGTCTGATATGGTTTGCCCACATCAGTAGCAGTAGCAGCTGCAGACGGCAATTGCAAGCAAAGCAAAGCAAAGCAAAGCAAAGCAAAGCAAAGCAAGCAGGGTTAGGGCGGGGAGGCTCCATGCCCCAGTGGGCCTGCCGTTTCTTTTAGTTTTTCTTGATTGGAGCTCTTGATTTTTCTCTTGGTTCTGTCTTGGCATTCCATGAGTTGGAATGCTTTCACACTTACTTCGCTGCCGGGTAGCCTCGCGCGGCCGCAACACCCTTGCCCAAGAGGCTGGAGGTAAAGTAGTTGTTGTCCCCGGTTTTGGTGATGTTCCAGGCCTCCAGCAGGAGGGCTAAGTCACAATCTCTGTGGTTGGCCCACCAAGTTCTGCTAGCACCAGTAACACGAACAGGCTTGCCAATGCCACTGCTCGACGTGAAAGCATTCTTAGCATGAGAAAATGAGCGACACGTCTTACAAGTAAGATACCTACCTCGTTCGTACACATCGCGCATCGCCAGGCCCCCAGGCGTGCAACAACATGGCCTTTGAACTTGGCCATGGGGGTCGCCTTGCAACCAGCAGTCTTGGCACGAGCACTTTGCCTTTGTTTACCCTCCAGAAGGTACGGCACAGATTTCCATTCTATCCACAGCTTTGCATACATCTGCATCCGCAACATGCAAGGGTGGCTAGTTTTTTGACGGCGTTCCACGCTACAAGCCTTAAGGGACGGCAAAGTAGCCGTAGCAACAGTAGGCGAATGTTTACCGCAGAAACCAGATTCAGCCGGCATCTTTCTCCCAGGTGCCACTGACACCAGTGATTCCAAATCTTAGTCTTGAGCTAGTTATGGCTTGTAGCTAAAACCACAACTTCGCAAGCCGGGCAAGACCACGGGAAGCAGTCATCGCCAACAGGCCTTTCCCCAGGACGATTACCGAAGAGAAAACCTTCGGCCCCTTTAGGCAATTCGCAAGCGTTCGGGAAGCCTTTATGTTGAATCGCTCCTGTCCGGCAGGTGTGGCGTCTGGAACAAGCAAGGTTTCACCCACCTCCCCTTTATGACTGCATGCTGGCCTCTGCCAGCCGCATGAGGTCCGTGCTCAAGGCTCGGAGCGGAGTCAAGTTGGGCTTCGGGTCGTGTGCTTTGAACGTGACCGTGCTGGCGAAGCTAATTTTCAGCCTGCGTGCGCCAAGCGTACCACGCCTCGGCCAGGTCCTGCCTTCTGGGGTTTCCATGCAGGCGTTGGCCTCTCCTGCTGAGGGCTGGGCTTGGTCTGCTTAGAGGTCCTAGCGAGACGAAGGTTAAGGCCCTGCGGCGAAGCTTCAATGACGCAATGGCATCAGCAAGAGAATGGTCACTGTCCCAAGCCCGCTCCTGAGCTGGCCAAATTATGATAATTCTTTCCTTGCACCTCGAATTTCATATTTCGCTGGACCTACTTTTTTCAACCCCTCGTCTACCTTTTTTTTTTTACCAAAACCACCATAAATTTAACTTATCCTCGCAATGGCAGCAGCAGCAGCAGCAGCAGCAGCAGTGGCGGTGGAGGTGGTGGCAGCGGCAGTGGCAGCAGCGGTGGTGGCTTGCAGCAGCAGAGGTGGCAGCGGCAGCGGCAGCAGCAGCAGCAGCAGCAGGAGAAGCGGAGAGGACGATGCCGCCGTAGTCCACCTGCCCAAGAGAGTAGAGGCTGTGCTTTCCGAAGAGGATTTACGGCTTGGGGTTTGTAGGATTTGGGGTTCAAGGCCCTATAAACCCTGGGGTTTTTAAAGTTCAGGGCTCGTGGGGCTTGGGACTTCGGGTTTGGGGGCTTGGGATTTGGAATCCTGAGCCCTGCGTTCTGAACCTGGAAGCCCCCAACCCCACCCTAAATGTTAAGGGTTCAAATCCCCTTGCACCCTCTCAAAATTTAGAATCACAAAATAAATTTTGCGTCAAGCCATCCCTCAGGCTACCAGGGACTTACAGTTGGAACAAATAAACACCTTCCTTGTAAACGGTCAACTGCACGAATAGATAGTAATAATCTGGCTACATGTCCACCAGTGGGTTAGGCATATCCATTGGAATTCACCTTCTTCACCTTAGGCTCAGCACCCTAGAGTGTAGGGGTTCAACTCCCGCTGACACCTCAAATTTTAGAATTGCAAAATAAATTCTGCGGAATTACAGGTCCAAGAAAGAGACACCATCCCATTATGGCCATCAGTAGCCATGCATAAGGCACATTCTTGTAACCCTAGTGACTGGGGTTCTCCCCTGTGTGCATTGACAGCAAGTTAAGCTAACTTCGCCCGCTAATGGGTCATGGCAACAATGAACTGAATCCATGTTCGCTTGGCATGTTGGGTGGGGCGTAGTACACGGCGCAGACCAGAGTGGGCTTGTTCAGCGCAAACGGCTAGAATTTAATAGGCAGCCTGAATGTTGCTCAACTTCCGGACTTTTGTTGGCCAAGGTTCTTGAGGTTCTGGAGTGAGCTTTTGACTATTAGGCCAGAGAAGGTTTTGAGACGTGGGGCCATAATTTGTGTTACGCAGTGTCACCAGCTGGGGCTTTCGCAGATTGATGGGTTCGTTTTTGCGCCAGCTCACACCTTGGTCCCCTGCTTCTTTCGCTTGGGAGGAGATAGCAATTGATGGATGTCTGCATTATCGACGACATCTTCATCCACTGCCTCAATCATTGCCTCATCATTACGCAAGGCCTTGCGCGCGTTGCCCTGCTCTCTAAGGCGGGCAAAACGCTTCCTCTTGGTGTAGACAGGCCTTTTTTGGCCCTTGTCAGACCTGACGGCTCGCATCCGCTTGATAAGGTGAAACCCATGCTGGCGGTAACCACTGATTATGGTTCCCTCTCGGCGTTCTTTAAGGAAGACTTCAAGGCACCTCTCAAAGAAGTCAGATGAGCGCAGCTCTTCTGTTGGTCTTCCACCAAGAACTTGCAGGTATTGCTCAAATACCTCAGCAGAAGTGTGTTCGCCCAGTGTCTGCTTCAATTGGGTAACCGACGCAAAGTAGCGCTCGCATTCGGCCGATTGTGTCTGGACCAGTTGGAAGGCTGCAAGAAGCGGGAGAGCCACCTGCACATCCTCCCTGGCAAGGGATTGCGCCACAACTCGCAGCCAGTTCACCTTGTTGTCCGTTCCCATCCGTGAGGCGAAAAGGGTACGGAACTGATGCAGCAGTTCTGTTTTGTCTGCGTCGCCCTAAATGTCGGACATGCGACTGACGGCATCTGCAAAGGAACTCTGCTCCAACTCGTAGGTGGCGTTGAAAATCACTGCTGGTTCCAGAATAGAACTTGCGCCGAAGCGGGCCAGGACTTTGTCACCGCAAGCCCTGGCGTAGTCTCGCACCTTAGTTGTTGCAAGTCGAACCCGCAACACCACACCCAAACCAAAACTGCGACCTAAAATTGCGTCAGTCTTAGGGCCCTTAGCTTATCTTAGAAAAAAACTTCCAAGAACATGTGACTCGCTGGAAAGTCCGCAGGATGTGCTGCACATCCTCGAAGCCGGCAAATCGGATCCCCTCCTCCACGATGTCGCCGTCCTTGGTCTCGTAGCGCACAAGGATTTTGCTGTTCTGCTGTTCTCGCCACAGCCGGCAGACCTTCTCTGCCTCATAGGTTTTGGCTACAGCGTTGCCCCCTACCATGGCATTGGCTAAGGCGCTGTTTTTCTCCGTGTACGATGCCAGTGACGCGCGCAATTGCTGCGCGATCTCTGCCACTCGCTCAATTGAGGTCACATTCTCTAATTGGTTTTTGGCATGGTACGCCAAGCCCAAAACATCGACCAGAGCTGCAACAGTAATGCGTGCCGCCCAGCTTGCAAGACCCAAATAAATCCACTGATGAACTTTGGCTGACTCGCGGTCCTTCTTGTGGTGTTTGAATACATATGCCAGATGGGCGAGCACCGAAACATAGGACTGCAGCAGCTTGCGCAAAGGTAGCAAGAGGCTCAACCAGCGGCTTGTAGATGTCCCAGCTGTTGTCAACACCTCCTCGTCGCAAAGGTCTGCCCAAAAACCCATGTCCACTGTAGCCCCTGGAGATGCTTTCAAGTGCCTGTGAAGGGCCTTCACTCTGGCCTCAAGGTCCAGAAGATACTGATCTCCTCCAGACAGCGCATCTGAACAGAATAGTTGGAGACGATGCGCCGCACAATGCACAGCTAGAAGCTTTCGACCTGCCCACTGCTCAAGGCGCCTGAGCACGTTGTCTCCACCAGCGGACAGAGCTCTCCGAGCGCCATTGACAGAAGCCCCATCTGCACGGAAGGAAACTAACCCTTCCCGCCTCAAGCCTGCAGCTTCTAAGGCTGCTGTGATGAACTTAGCTAAGTCCTCTGCGTCATGGCCGCTGAGTTCACCGTACGCTATGGGACGCGTCTCCTTCATCATATCTTTGTTGGTGAATGCGACGAGGCAAATGAGCCGTCCATCCTTTTCATCGCAGCTAATGGAATAATAGCGAGCTTCTCGCACACACTCGCACACATCACACCACATCCTGGAGACACATGCTGCTCAGAATGCCACAAACCTCCCCAAAAATAGTGCTTGAGTCAGCGCCATTTGGGAGGACTGCTGCTGCCATTTTTCCAAACTGCAACAGTAAGGCAAACACGGAAGAAGATTGCAAGCTGCGCATCGCCATGTGAGCTCCAAGCAGCTCGTTCCTGAACTGCTGCGTCAACTTCTTGCTTTTAGTACTCTTGGTCTCATCTACCTCGTGGCCTTCTTTGCATGAGCTGCTTGAGTCCCCACGACTCAAACTCGAACCAGCATGTGCGGCTGCCTCTGCGCCGGCTGCCTGATGTGTGGCTGGCGCTGGTTCTGCGTCTGCTGCCTGCTGTGCCCGCACGGCACTGACATGAGCTTGGCACTGTCCCTCATGCTCCTTCAAGGTTCTATCATGAAAGTATTTTCCTATCTTGTAGGAGAACGTCGCAAACTTTGACTTCGGCTTCGGAACGATGGCTGCGCAAACACTGCATCCCAAGAACGCACCTTCGTCTTTGATAGCAAGGCGGAGCCACGGGCACCGGCCCCTGTAAAGAGAGTACTTCCGCTCTTCTTCCGAAACATCAGCCATCTAAACTACTTGCTGCTGATGTAGCTCAACCACAGAAGAACATAGTTTGGCTTTACTATGCTCAAGAAGAACGCAGACATCAGCGGCGTCCAATCAATTCCCCACAGATTCGGGCCCACAACTGTGATAACAACATGCCGTACCATTGCTTCAGAGCTGGTTTCGAAAGCACCTAGGCCCTCCACTTGAAGGTGTGCGTTCCCAGCCTTGACGAGCAGCGTGCAAGGGCAGTCTTTCCTGCGCAGCCACGCATGGCACCAGCCACGTCGTCATGCCTGGCATGCTGAGTGGAAGCCAAGCTGTTCTGTAGGCTGGAGGTCTGCTCCCTGCACGATCGCCAGACCATGTTTTCTCGTTTTCCACTAGTCTGGCTCTCCAGCTTCAGGGTTTGTGATGGAAACTTGTGTACAGCATGTCTTGGGATTTTGGTATTCATGGGCAGAAGCTAGTGGAGGCCCCTTAAAAAACTGCTTTTGTACCTTGACTTCATTTGAAATGACAAGCAGCGTAATGACAGGATGTCTCTGACCTCCAGGAGTCAAGATACAATCAAAGGACCAATACTTTGAGTCACTCACTAATGCAAAAGGTTCCGGGTTCAAACCCGCAGGGGCCTCAAAATTTAGAAGTGGAATCTAAATTTCCATGACCAAGGTGGAGTTGAGCCTACAACCTTTGGGGTAAGAGAGGGCGACTTACCCATTAGGGCAAGCTACGATATGAAGAATGGTGGTGTACAAGCTCTATCACCAAGTGCTGGAAGCACAACAACACTTCCGCTGGTATGGCCTGGGTCAACAGGCGAAGCTTGTGCTCTTGTGGAACGACTAGCTACCACGCAACAATGCAGCACTATTTTGCTTTCAGACTCAAAGCGCCTGCGGTCCAGTGCAGAGTTTAGCTAGGCACTACAGCCTACCACGGTGCGGCTCAAAAGTCGCGAGAAATTCACAACTCCTCAACATCTTGGGTTCGGGTTACGGGGCCCTTGGGAGCAAATCAGGATACCCCACTCTGTAACTACCAACCCTAAAACCCTTCTCCACGATGTGGTCTTCGGCTTAGCCACGCTCCACTTCAGCCTAAACCTAGGAAACCTTAAGAAAAGCAGACATGCTACTGCTGGGCTAGGGTCCGGCGAGCTCGACCCCAGGACGCAGCTGAACCACTTCAGATACGCTTTGTCAGTGTTCGTCCTCCTTTGCTGGCCTGGGGTCCGGGGTTCGCGAGTGGTGCTCCCGCTCGAACCCAGGACGCAGCTCAAGCTTCAACCAATTCAACAATGCTTTCTGAAGGTAGTTCGTCCTCCTGCACCCACGAACAGTGCTGTAGTAAACCCCAAGCCGTCAACCCTCACCCTTAACCCGCAACAAGTAGTCTATTGGAGCTTCAGGCCTGGACATGGGCTGCTTCCGTCTGGATAACAGGCCATGTTTGCGAGTGAACCTGCGGTTCAGGGGTTTAGGATTGTAGGGCTTACTCGGATATTTAGGGTTTAGGATTTAGGGTTTAGGCGACTAGGATTCAAGGCCCAGGGTTTTTGGAGGCTCAGATCATAGGATTTAAGGTTTAAAGTCCCCCTTAAGCAGATAGAATATGGCTTTGGGTATATTATCAATAAGATCCCCACATACCCCATATTCTATCTACTGAAGGGGGACTAGGATTCAAGGCCCAGGGTTTTTGGAGGCTCACATCGTAGGATTTAGGGTTTAAAGTCCCCCTTGAGCAGATAGAATATGGCTTTGGGTATATTATCAATAAGATCCCCACATACCCCATATTCTATCTACTGAAGGGGGACTAGGATTCAAGGCCCAGGGTTTTGGGAGGCTCAGATCATAGGATTTAGGGTTTAAAGTCCCCCTTAAGCAGATAGAATATGGCTTTGGGTATATTATAGATAAGATCCCCACATACCCCATATTCTATCTACCATAAATTGTGAGCGCTCTGACTACTGTGCTGCGGGAGTTACTGCCAACCCTTGGGCTAGCAACTCTCAAAAAAGTACGTAACAGCGATCATTTTCTCAAATGTGACGCAGTGGTGCCACAGCTGTGAGTCCTGCACCATTCTTGTTTGCCGCTTGCCGTGGCAAGCCAACGCGTTAAGGTCGGCAAAGTAGTCGGTAAGATGTGCCTCCAGTCCATACTGCAGCAGCTCCAGGGCCGAGCTGCTTAGCTTGACGCTCCCATAGTTGTGGCGTTCTTGCAACTCTTCTACCACATCGCAGCATAGAAGCACGAACAAACTTGTGGGGATCAAAGTTCTTGGGCCATCAGGCGACTGGAGCCTTGCTATCTCAGTTTCGACCCTGCGAGTGTAGTGGCGAGGCCCGCTACTGGAGGCAGCGGTTTCTGTGCGCCTCCTCTTGGGGCGTGGACCAGGCTCCTTGCTTTCGTCGTCGTCATCCTCGCAGCATCCCCCGTCGGGGCCAAAAAGCATCAAGTCTATGTCCTTGCTTTCCTGATGGGCAGCTTCTAACAAAGCGGACTCATTCTGCTCATCCCAAGCAACTATATCTTCTTGTCTGGTTCGCACACACAAGGGCGACATTCGAGACGCATAGATGGAGCCAGCAGTGCCTCGCACAGTGATGAAGCCCTCACCCAGATTGCAGTGCACTCGCTGACGCACCTAGGCAGGGGAGGTGCTTGCTAAAAGTCCCTAACGCCCCTTGAGGACCTGAAGATTCCTTAAAACTCCTAAGACCCTTGGAGCGCTGAGGCCCCTTTAAAGACCCTAAAGCCCTTGAAAGCAAGGCTTCTAAACCCCTGAAGGCACCTAATCCCTTGAGAGCCTCAAGGCCCCACTGTTTCTTTAAGGAACCAGCCACCTGACCAGATGGCAGCGCTTCCTCGGCAGCGATCGCGTCCACGACGTTTCCTTGCTGGAGACGGCCCAACACTTGCGAATCCGCCTCTAAGCCT